TTATTAAATCTACCAGAATGTTATTAAATCTACCAGAATGTTATTAACTCTAAACACGTAAGAGCTTTTGTATCTTTAGACAGAAACAGCAATGCACTATTCTCCTTTTCTATCTAAAGTACTTCACTCAACTAACAAGTATATATATCGTACAGTAAATAAACGGTGTCATGACAGTGTGGCTGAGATAAAGACTAAACTAGAGAAAATGCATTTACAGCAAAAATGCAGTGTGTATGCTTATTGCAGAAGAACTTGCGGAAAAACAGCTGAAATTAGCTAAAGGATGTGCTGAAATGTAGCTGAAATGGAAGAAGCCTAGCAGAATAAAGCAGAACTAACACATTTGTTGAAATAAGTTTAAATATGTAGAAATTAGCTAAAAAAAAAATCTTAAATTAAGAAAATAAAATAACTGAAGTTTAAAAAAAAATTAAAATCCATCTGTCCATTATCAGAAAAAAAATTATAATCCTGAAAAGTAACTGAAAGGCAGAAAGAAGCTAAAATTACCAGAAGGAAGTGGAAAGAGCTGAAATGAGCTCAAAAATGTAGAATTAGCTGAAAAGGCTAAAATTAGCAGAAAAACAGCAGAAACAGTAGCTGAAACACCAGGAAAAGCTGAAACTAGTATAATTAAAGTGCAAGGAGTATAACAAGCTGAAATTATCAGAAAGAAGTTAATTATACTGAAATCAGCAGAAACTACCAAGAAAAACTTGAATTTATCTGAAAACAGCTTAAATTAGCTAGAACGCTAAAAAGATAGCTGAAAAGGTAGAATAAGCTTAAATAAGCAACAGAAAGTAGAAAGAACAGGTTTTTCCAATTATGCTGAAAAAAGCAGAAATGAGCACAAAAAAGTGGAAATTATATGAAAAAAGCTTAAATTAGAAAAAAAACAGCTGAAAGTAGCTAAAAAAGCACAAAGAAGCTAAAATTAGCAGAAGGAAGTGGAGAGAGCACATTTTTACTGAATTAGGCTGAAAAAAGTAGAACTGAGTGCAAAACATGGAATTAGCTGAAAAAGCAAAAATGTGCATAAAAACAGTTAAATAGTAGCTGAAATAGCAAAAAAAAAAAAGCTGAAATTTGCAGAAATAAGCTGAAAGGAGCTTAACAAGCTGAAATGATCAAAAATAAGTTAGAAGAAGCACAAAAATGTTGTCGTTAGTAGAAAAAATCTGAAAGGAGCACAAAACAGCTGAAATTAGCTGAAAGTAGCTGGAAAAAAGTTTAAATTTGTAGCAGGAAGCTGAAAGAAGCTGAAGCAGAACAAAAAGTGAAAGGAGCAGTAAACGGTTGTAAACACATCTAAAGATGTGAAGGATGGAAAATGAGCTCAAATCATTTTCTATGAGATCAAATTATCAGAAAAGGCTAAATTTTTCAAAACGCTAAAGTTGCACCAAAACCATAAATCACAGCAGGATTGTCCTGAAAGAGCCGAACGTTTTGATCTAGGAATAAAACTGCAACAACAGTCTAACCTGCGTTGTTGATCAGGATGTCCAGTCTGGGTTCAGACTTCAGGAAGGTCTCTGCAAAACTACGAACAGATTTCAGGCTCCCCAGATCCAGCTGCATGAACACCACCTGGTTACTGCCACTCTCCTGCAACCATTTTGTAGATGATTACACGGCTGGTCACACTCGATCTACACAAACTGAGTAACGTTCAGCTGCAGCGTCCAGTCTCTTCATCTTTGCCTGGGTGAGACAGACCCAGTTCACCTGGAGGTGCTCACCTGCTTGATCTCCTGGAGAGCAGCCTCTCCTCTCTGCTTACTGCGACAGGCCAGAATCACTCTGGCTCCTCTTGTAGCCAGATCTATGGCCGTCATCTTCCCTATGCCAGTGTTGCTGCCTGCAGGAGAACAAGTCAGTAAGAGCAAAGCATGATCACAGCACAGCTCAACCAGTACTTACCAGTTACAATCACCGTCTTCCCATGCAGCTTGACTTTGCTTGTGCATTTCTTCCCTTTCACCACAATGTGATGGAACATGTAAGCAAGGAGAGCGACGGCAACAAGCAGGTAAATGCTGCACATTGTTCCAGACTTTCAGCTGAACTCTGCTGAACTTCACCAAGG